ACCATATGTTTCCAGTTTCGGTACTTGGGCCGTTTATATAAAAACTTTCGTCGACTTGATTAGCGTCTTGATCTTTGAGAGGCTTGTTATCCTTATCCTTCTTCTTCGCAAAACATTCGGATTCCTTGTGGCCCTTCTTTTGACAGTAGTTGCATTTATAAGTGACCTTTTTCTTGTTTGCCTTTGTATCGCTTACCTCGGCCTTGCCTCTGTTGAATGGTTTTCCTTTTGAGTTGCACTTTACATACATTGCGTTTGATTCGAGTTGACTTGATCTCCGTTCCCTAGCGTCGTGCTCTTCGAGAATTTTCACTTTCAGCGATTCGGCGTCCGGTAACGTGTCGCGAGTTTCAATAGCGCACCTAAAGTTCTCAAAGTTATCCGGCAAGCTATACAAAAGCATGATTGTAAGAAGGTCTCCGTTTATTTCGATGTTCATGGCACTGAGTTTGTCGACGATATCAAAGAATCGCGATAGATGCTCGCGGAGATCGCCGTTGTCGGGTAATTTTTGCAAGATAAGTTGTTTGAGTAAGTTTGCCTTACGCGCTGGCCCTTTCGATGCGAAAATGTTTTCCAGCTTCGTCCAAATTTCTCGCGAGGTTTCGCATCCGCGTACCTGCTTCAACTCGGATGGGGAAATCGATAGGATGAGGTCCGACTTCGCCTTTCGGTCGTGGGTTATCCAATTTTCCAGAGCTGCTTGCTGTGCCGCTTGCTGTTCGCCTTGCCGTACCTCGGGTTTTACTTTCCTGCCGGACACGTACTCCCACAAATCCGCTTTAATTAATAACGCTTCAACCTGGATGCTCCATGTATCGTAATTATTTCGGTTGAGCATTTCGATGCGTGTGGAGTTAACAATACTTGCGTACGCCATGATGTTACCTTTTTCTGACTTCGACTTTGCGTCGATGAGGATTCGACTTACAGCGGTCCGTCGTCTTTTGGGGTTATAATTTTGTCGGTCGCGTTGCGATCGCGCTGTATGTCGCACGACGATCTTTTCTTACGACTTATGTGCCCTGGGCCCATAACCTGTTAATGTTAACAGATGGGAAGCACGGGCATCGAACGAACGAATACAGTTAGGTGAAAAAAGCCTTCTTTAATGAGTTGCGATCTACACGTATGTCTTGAGACCCGACATGAGCGTAATACTACAAAAGGGGGGGTGAAGGTCGGTGGGATCATCGTAGGATGAGTGAGATGGCGTTGCGTGCGTGTGACCGCGCGAGGCGCGAAGAGTAAACGTGTGATAGGCATCTCCAACAGATGACGACTCATTAGAGCATAAAGTTTCCTTAATTGTCCTTTCATTAGATTTACACTCGTTGATATCTGTAAATTATAATTATCTATTTTAATATGTTTAGAAATTTATACAAACTAAATTGTAAAGTTTTAACGTACTTGATGATGGTAACATTTCAGCTTCGAAATTTTTGGAAGCACAAACAGATACAACAGATTTTTCACCAGATTGACAAATCTTTTTTACTTTTTCAGGATTGTATACGGGCATAGAATTAAAAGTGGGACGATTAATACCTGCAAGTAAATTACAAATACAAATACGCATCTCAAATGTCAGCATATTATAAGCTTTTAAAATTCAAAGTATATGTTAAGGAACCTGCACGTTGCTAGGGTAAGTTGCGAAGTAAATAAATAATATCGGTAATTATGCATAAAAGCGACTTCCTCTCCGATTTGTTTTATTTTTAAATATGTTGTTGGGGATGTCTTCCCGAGTCATTTCATATATAT